ACATCCTACCTGGCTGTCTTAAGTCAGGTTCCCTAGAAGTACAGCCTGAGACAAAGATGCTTGTGGGAGTGATTTGTTGAGGGTGGGCCTTTAAGAGAAAGCAGTAAGGGATTAAGGGAAGCAGGATAGGGAAGAAGTTAAGCAAGGGTGTAGTTTAAGGAGAAATCTTCCCTCCACCTGACTACCTGGAAAGCTCTGGAGCATGAATTGCCATAGAGAGTTTGTCCTGCCCAGAGGCAAGGGGGCTAGGCTGTAATACCCTGCACCTGTCAATCATTGGCTATAGATGGTGTGTGTGTGTGTGTGTGTGTGTGTGTGCGCGCGCGCACGCGCGCGCAGGCGTAGTGTGTAACTTCCCAGGCATTTCTGAGCAAAATATCTGTCAGCCAATGGTCATTTTCTGAAGAAAGGGGCAGGTATAAGCATCAATTAGAGGGTGAGTACATTGACCTGTAAAGAGGATTCGATCAGGGAACCAACCACATCTGCAAGGACTGATGTGGTCAAAGTTTCCCTTGATAATTCCCACTTTGAGGCTTCATTCCATTAAAAGAAATCCTTTTCAGAAATTAAGCCGTTTTTGTTTTTTGCTCCTTGGAACACACCAGTAAATTAATGAAAATTCCAGTTGGATGCTGTCAATTGTTTTCATCATCCTTGTCTTCTGTAGACAACTTTTCTATATTCTACATCCTCCCATTCTTCTTTAAGTTAATGTGCCTCTATGGCCCTCAGTTAATTCTTCAGTTTCTTCCTCTAACGCACTTCCTCACAGGCGCTAACCACATCCTAGTCACCCAAATAATGCTAAATTGAAACAGAGGTTTTAACTGTGATCCAATCTCTCCTCTCCCTCTTCTATGTTCATCTTCTCAGGGGCCTCCTGTCCCATCAGGCTACTGCTGGATTTTCAGAACCCAATTCTCTGGACTCTAACCACATTTTTCATGCTCCCAAACAGCCTGCTCATAAAAAACCCTCCTGTTCCATGTCCCATTATTTCAGGTCTAAATGACAGAAAACTGCTGGTCCCCATTAAGTATCAATGGCTGAAAACCGTTATTACTCTCCATTCCTCTCTCCCAGTCTTTGAGATGATTATTTCATACCTTTCTCTCTTACCTGGGTTTGAGTCCTGGCTCTGTGGCTTGCCAGCTGTGAGACCTTGTGCCTCAGTCTATTCATCTTTGAAATGCGAATGATAATAGTATCTGCCTCATAGGATTGCTGTGGGGATTAAATGAGTCAGCTGATAATAAAGTGTTTAGCACAGTGTCTGTTCCATAGCTCCGGCCCCAGGGACACATTCTGTCCTTTGTTGTGCCCATATTCTGTCTCCCTTACTGGATTCTGGCTTCCCGGAGGGGAGAGGTCTCCCACATTCATCTTCCAACCCCCCAGCACCCAGCACAGAACTTTCACTAGAGTGGGTGCTCCATAAACGTTTGCTGAATTGAATTTGTAAATCTGTGGGTGTTTGTGCCAGACAATGAGACATTTACAAGTTCATGATCTGTCAAAAACCAAACCAAACCTGTTGCCGTCAAGTCAACTCTGACTCATAGCAACCTGCCTCATAGGGCTTCCAAGACTGTAATCTTTACGGGAGCAGATTGCCACAACTTTCTCTCGTAGAATGGCTGGTGGCTTCGAACCACTTTCGGTCAGCAGCCAAGTGCCTAACCACTGCACCACCAGGGTTCCTTTCATGATCTATGCAGTGCTTCAATTACCTATGTGTCCTTTAAAGGGAGAGGTTTGCTGCTAAAGTCAGGGTGTCCGTCCAACAGCTTCTGCCCTGAATAAAAAATCTAGGTCACTGCTGATCTGCTTCTGTGAAGCAGGAAGTCTATTTACCCTCAAGCCTTTCCTAAGTTGCCTTATTTCTGAGGTCAAGATTCTCCTTAGGGGGAGGAAATCGACACCTCTCACAAGGTTCAAGACTTCTCGGCACAGTTGGAGGTATTTAGTGCACAAAGCGACCCTCCATTTCCCCTCCAGTGAGCAAGGACCAGAGTCAGGAGCTTTAGGTTTCACGTCTAAGCACTGGCACAAAGTACCTGCTAAGGAAGGAGGGTCCAGACCTGAAAGAGGCCTCAAACTCACCACAGGAGGCCTGAGAATTCCTGGGAGGTCGATGGCTCAAATTACATCACATTATTCTGCTGCCCTCATGCTTGTTTATTTATGTTTCAAGCCTGCCTTACTGGTTGAGGCTGCTGGAGTGAAGGGGAAAGAGGTTTCAAAGGAGAGTGAAAACGGTAGAAAAGGAAATCTTTGAGTAGAGATTAACATGCCCCCTGGGGCTTCTTTGATTTGCATTATTACGAAAGTGCCTGGTGTAATAATTAAGCACTCCCAGGTGGTGAGTAGTCTCTGTACAGAGTTGGGGCTTTGTTTCTGATGCGTTGCAGCTGCTGTGCATAATGTAGGCTAGACACTATGGGGGTTGGAGAAGAAGAAGCCATCACAGGACCAGAATAACTGTTCTCGTTGCCCTGGCAGAGTACTAAACTCATCATCGACACCCAAATGTGTGCTTTCTCCTGTCACCATCACCTTGGTGATTGGTGGCTGCTAACTGAAAGGTTGGAGGTTCAAGTCCACCCAGAGGTGCCTTGGAAGAAAGGCCTGGTGATCTACTTCCAAAAAAATCAGCCATTGAAAACCTTATGGAGTACAGTTCTACTCTGACATACATGGGATCTCCATGAGATACACTTGGTAGCAACTGTTTTCATACCACAGGAATGCCTCTAAGCTGCTTAGATTGTAACTGGGTCAGCCTACAACCCTCTCTCTATTACCAGATCCTGTCCACTTTCCCTCCTAAAGGTCTTTGAATCCATTTCCTTCTCTCTATCTCCACTGGTGGAGTCCTGGTGGTGAAGTGGTTAAGAGCTACGGATGCTAATCAAAAGTTTGGCAGTTTGAATCCACCAGCCGCTCCTTGGAAACCCTATGGGGCAGTTCTACTCTGTCCTATCGGGTTGCTATGAGCTGTAATCAACTCAACAGCAATGGGTTTTTTGGGTGTCTCCACTGGCACTGCCCTAGTTCAGGGCCTGTCATGTCTTCTTGGATTATATCTTCCTTACAGGTCTCTCCGCCCCAAGTCTGAGATCTTCCATTCCATTCCCTCCTAGTTTAGAGGGATTCTTCTAAACTAGCTTAAAATTCACCAGTGGTTCTCTATGTCCTTCTGAATCAAGTATGCTTCTGCGAGCCTGGCTTGAGAGGCTCTTTGGGCCCTGGCCCTGATTCGCTGGCTTGTGTCCCGTCACGTCTCCTCCACACCTGTGAGCCCCTTCACACCAGTAATCTCGATCAGTGTGCAGTTCCCAGAATATGCAGTATTTGCCCTCAAGCCTTGCAGCTTCCTGTGCTTGTTCCCTTCTGCCCAGAGTCCCTGTCCTCCCCTACAGTCTCCTTCCCTTTCCTCCTCCTTAGGTTGAATAAGCTTTCCCTCACCTGTTCCGCATACTTCTCTTGTAGCACTTATCACAAACTGCACTGAATCTCGAACTGGGCAGAAAAATGAATTGCTTCCCTGCAAAGAAGGAAGACCGAAGAAGAATTGATGCATTAGCGAAGAATACTGAATATACACCATGGACTGCCAAAAGAACAAATAAATTGGGAAGACCCTCAATGAGACTGATTGACACAGTGGCTGCAACAATGGGCTCAAGCATAACAACAATTGTGAGGATGGTGCAGGACTGGGCAGTGTTTCGTTCTGTTGTACATGGGGTCGCTATGAGTTGGAACAGACTCGACCGCACCTAACAGCAACAACACCTAGCTCTAGGTCTGGCATACAGTATTTGCTCAACAAATATTTGATAAATGAATCAATTAACTCTGGTCATAGTGGGGTTCAATCATAGTTCACGGAAGAGGTCTTGAAATGTCTGGCTCTGAAAGAAGAAATACAACAGCTATGGTAATTATGTTAGATGGGTAGAATTTCACACTCGATAAATGGATTGTGAGGTTTTGTGTTTCTTCAAGCTAAGTAACTCACGCCTACTTTAAAGACCAGTTTAAAGGACCTCCTCTCTGGACTTGATAAAACGTTGTATTTGCCAGCTTTGAGAGAGCGTTGAGTTCAGGGATTATACTCGCCAAGCGCGACTTTCCGGAAATGCCATGACTGTTGCTTAAAAAAATGTCATTCCAAGGCCACAGTTAAACATATAACTCCCTCAGAAGAGGTGTGAGAGGTGGTCAGGTGAACTATGAAATGAAATCTGCCTGGGAACCAGTTGCAGTGAAAAAATCCATTGACACCCAAGAAATATATACATTCATATGTAGAAAGGGGGCCTACTACGTTGCAGATTTCCGCTAAACATAAAGAAGACGCCGTCTTTCAACAGAGCAACTAAAAAATGGAATGGACTGCCTTATGAGGTAGTGAGTCTTCTGCCACCCCAAGTGTTCCATTCTCTTCAACAACATGCTGGTTGCTGGACTCAAGCCGAGGCAGAACGACTCCGGTGGAAAGGGTGGAAAGGAGATTGAACTAAAACGTCCTTTGACTCTTCGAACGTAGATTCTTCCGAACCTCTTGATTTTTTGGAGTCCTTTGATTCTTTCGAATCTTCTGATTCTTTCGATTTTCGGTTCTAAGCGTTAAAGCGCAGCAGGGAAAAGCTGCAACGAAGAAGGGAAGGGAGCTAGTTAAGAGTACGCAGAGAAAAAGGGGTGAGAATTTAGGAGGAGAAGCCACAAAAAAGAGATTGAGCGAGTAGAGGAGAAGCGGAGCAAACGCAGAACAGGAAACGGAGTAGGGGAAAGAGAGCGAGTCTAACCTCAGCTAAGAAAGAGTGAGCAAACTCGTCCGGGACAGGGGGAAGGCACGCCCAGAGGGAAATCGGCTCCTTTAAGAGCAGCCCCGCCCCCTGGCGTGACGCCTCAGCAGGCCCGTCGGCGATTGGCTGAGGCCGGAGGGCGGGAGGGGGTTGCTAGGCGCGGAGGGGATCCGGCTGGCCCCTGCCGCCCGCAGTGCTGAGCCGCGGGAGCTGAGCCGGGATTAGCAGCGCTGCTAGAAGATGGCGAGTGGCTGGGACGCGCGGCCGCCGTGGCAGCCGGGGCGCCTCCCGCTGCTGCTGTGCCTGCTGCTGCTGAGGAGCCCGGCCCAGGCGGCGCACATCAAGAAGGCAGAGGCGACGACGACGACTACAAGCGCGGGCGCCCAGGCGGCCGAAGGCCAGTTCGACCACTACTACCACGAAGAGGAGCTCAGCTCGGTGCTGAAGGAGGTGGCGGCCGCGGGGTCCCCGGGCCTGGCTCGTCTCTTTAGCATCGGCCGCTCGGTGGAGGGCCGGCCGCTGTGGGTGCTGCGCCTCACGGCCGGCCTGGAGCCGCCGCCCCCTGACGGAGACTCGGGGCCCGACGCAGCGGGGCCGCTCCTCCCCGGCCGGCCGCAGGTGAAGCTCGTGGGCAACATGCACGGCGACGAGACCGTATCGCGCCAGGTGCTGGTCTACCTGGCCCGCGAGCTGGTGGCCGGCTACCGCCGCGGAGATCCGCGCCTCGTCCGGCTGCTCAACACCACCGACGTGTACGTGATGCCCAGCCTCAACCCCGATGGCTTCGAGCGCGCCCGCGAGGGCGACTGCGGCCTCAGTGACGGCGATCCACCGGGGCCCACTGGCCGCGACAACAGCCGCGGCCACGACCTCAACCGGAGCTTCCCAGACCAGTTCCACACTGGCGAGCCCCCATCCCTGGACGACGTCCCCGAAGTGCGCGCCCTCATCGACTGGATCCGCAGGAACAAGTGAGTGTGGCCCCGACCTACGCCCCATCACATCCACGTGAACCCCCCAGGCACTCAGTAGCTGCTCAAACAATGCTTGTTGGCCTGAGGGGAAGGAGGTAGTGAGGGTGGAGGAGAACACCCTGTAATAGAGACTGGGCTCAGGCCATTTACCCTCCTGCCGGCTGACTGGCAGAGAAGCTCTACCTAGAGGCTGTCATTTGTTCAAGGGATGCAGAGAGAGCTCTTTGGCTGGAGTGGTGACACTCCTTCCTGGCATTTTGGTCCCAGTTCTCACATGAGCGATGGAAGAAGCCTCCTTAAGGATAACCTAGGTCAGCTCACCCATTCTGTAGATAAGCTGTCAATGCTCGTTATTGTCTTATTAACTACAGACACTGTGCTAAGCGCTTTCCATGGACTGCATTGTCTCACTTTATGTTGGTCACAACCTATTGAGATAAGACACCATTAGTATCCCTGTTTTGCAGATGGGGCAATTGAGGATCAAATTGGTTAACTCACTTACACAATAAGCAGTGTAGCTGGGTCTTGAACTCAGGCAGTCAGATTCCTAGTCAGTGCTCTTAACAGCCAGGGGAGAGACTGTACCCTAGAAATGGTGATTGACACCCCCGGGTCTTCCTCTTGGATATTTGACTGATTCTAGTCCTGTCTTTACCTCTCTGACTCAGCTAAGGAACTTGTGGGTATGGCTGGAGAACTTGCACAGATCTGGAATCTTCATCAGTGAGCAGCTTGATTTGAGACTCTGGGAGGGGTTTCTGATTCCGTTTGTGTACCTTAGTAGTGGGCCAGGGCTGAGTTGCTCATTGTCACACTTAATACACAACTTAAATGTTATTAAGCGCTTTGTAGGGTTTAAAATACTAAAAAAGTAGAAGCATGAGGACCTCAAAAAATTGGTGTATAACAAGAGAATATTATAAATGCATATGAAGTGTGCTTATGTACCTAGTTATACTTTACAGGAGTTGTTCCCACTAGCAAAAAGTGTGTGGGCTGCAATAACATGGACCCTGTCTGTGGAAGAGGTAGAACTTGAACTGAGTCTTGTGAGATGAGTATGATTTTCAGCAGAAAGGAGAGGAATAAAGGAAGCGGGAACTTACTCCTGATGGAATAGTGTCTGAGGTGAGCATTCACCTCTTCCTTTTCTCAAGCATCAGCTTTAAGAGCGTATCCCCATTTGTGCCTCTTTGAAAGACTTGTGAAACGCTAGTTAATCTGTCCATCTTGATTTGAGGATTTCTTAGTGACAGATAAGATAAAGGTAGTAATGAGCAAAGAAATTCTCTGTGAGAATTGGAATCATTTCTTCTTTGAGATTTCAGTCCTATATAGCAGATCTAGAAAATTTGTGGGTATTATGACAGTTCCAGATTCCTTTTATCTTCCACCCTTCACTTTACTTCCCCTTTTAAGATTCCTTGTAGATATTTAATTTCACATGTGCTTTTGGGAAGTTTTTTTTTTCTTTCAAAAATTACCATATCATGACCTCTAAACATCTGCATAAGAAATACTACTTTGGTATAAAACCAAACCAAACCTGTTGCCATCGGGTCGATTCCGACTCATAGCGACTTTGGTATACATCTTATTAAGTCAGAAGCTGTGATGGCCAGGACTTTTCTGAGATGATACATCAGATGAACTGTTTGCATTGCTTAAATGATATGTTTAAAATGCGCAGTCATGACCCTTGCAGGGATGTAAAGTCAATGACTAGATTTTTCTCTTCAGTATTAGTTCTGCCATGACCAAAAATAAAAATGAGCTTTCTCTTATTGCAAGTCACCTTGAGGCTGTACTGAAAGCTTTAAACTCTAAGTCTGGAACCAAAAATTTGCTGTCTGGTTAAGTGTTTCATATCACCAGTATTTAATGATTACAGGTTATGGTCTAGTTATGGTCTGGTTAGTTCAGTGATAGGAGCTTGTGAGGATTTTAAAAGCTCATGTGTGTCAGTTGGTATTAGACAGAGAGCAATTTTGTTCTATGGCTATGGACTACCCTATTTTCCCCAACCATTTTTCAAACATGTAACTCCAGTGAGAAGGGAAAGTAGGTGATTATCTAGGGTGAAAAGTACGTCCATCCATCGTCAGTCTTAAAAAATTAACTCAAAATACACATTCTTTAATAACAAAGTATTCTTCAGCCACAAAGGACATTGATAGGTGAATAAAATTAAAAACACAAGCACATGCCCAATTTGAGTTTGATGCCTAAATGTAGAGTCAACTTTATAGATAGGATATTAAAAAACTCAAAACATTAGTCTCTATGGGAAAATTCCCTTTTTCACTGTATTTTGTGGAGTAAATCATTTGAGTAATTCCTTAATATCCTTTTCATCCAGCTATATTAGAAATAGATTTTGTTGTTATTTTGAATATGTAAAAATTTAAGACTTATTTCCTCCTGTGTAGGAAAGTGAAGGTTTGTTTTGTTTTGTTTTGTTTTGTTACTTTATACTTCATCCGGTGCATATTTTTGTACTATTGATAATTTACTATTTATAGACTCTTGTTTATATTTATAATATATTTAGAAGCTACTTTAAATCTTATGCAATGAGTGATACGTGAAACCAAAGTCAAGTCTGAGGAATCCTTGAGAGAATTGATTGGAATGGAAACTATAAAATACTTTTCAAATAACATCGGAGTTGATATGGAAAATTGGTTTGACAAAGCGGTGATCTTATAACCACTATCGCTTTCTTTTGAAACCCTCATTATTAGAATGGCGTTGGTACTTTTAAAACTATGTAATTAAAATAAGGAAAACTAATTTTATCACTTAAGTAGATTGCAAGTATTATTTCATTCTTCTAAAACTATTTGGTTAGGCATTTTAATATTTCTGAGAAGTATTGCAAGAAATGTCAAACAGTGAAAGACAGCATTTAGAAGACAATCTTGGGTTTTAAAGTTTTAATTAAAAATATGTAATTAAAGTAGCTTCACTTATTTAGCATATTCAGCTATCCATTTTATTCCACTAGAATGTGAACTCATGAGCGTTTTGGGTTTTTTGTTATTGTTCGCTCGTGTGTCCCTAGCGCCTAGAACAATGTTTGGCATATAGTTGACACTCCAGAAATATTGGTTGCTGAATGATGATTGTAACATCCTTCTTGTAACATCCCCCAAGTCAGTGGGGAAGAAAGTTCTTAAATTAATTTAGGCACACAAACCAGAAAGTAAATTGTTAATAACCTTAGTTTGGAGGAAACAGAGAGATGTTTTAGAATGTTAGAATATGTACTTAGTTTTCTTTTCTATATCATTGTATCACCCCAGGGCTGGCAATGGAAGTGGGCAGTGGAATGATAGTCTATAAGGCAGTGATTCCCTAAACAAGATTTGTGAACATTTGTTGAGCATGTGCTATAAAGCAGTCACTGTGCTGGAAGATGTTTCACGTGTTTTTTTATTTAATTCTCATAACAACCCTGGGAAGCAGGTAGCATTAATCCCTGTTTTACAGATGGAGGGAGAAACTGGGGTTCAGTGAATTTAGAGGCAGTAAGTTCTTTTTGTTATTAATATTATTATTATTGTACTTTAGATGAAGGTTTACAGAACAAACTAGCTTCTCATTAAACAGTTAGTACACGTATTGTTTTGTGATATTGGTTACCAACCCCACGACATGTCAACACTCTCCCTTCTCAACCTTGGGTTCCCTGTTACCAGCTTTCCTGTCCCCTCCTGCCTTCCAGCCCTTGCCCCTGGATGGGTGTGCCCTTTAGTCTCATTTCGTTTTATGGGCCTGTCTAATCTTTGGCTGAAGGGTGAACCTCAGGAGTGACTTCATTACTGAGCTAAAGGGGTATCCAGGGGCCATACTCTCAGGGTTTCTCCAGTCTCTGTCAGGCCAGTAAGTCTGGTCTTTTTTTGTGAGTTAGAATTTTGTTCTACATTTTTCTCCAGC